TGGAACCCCCCCCCCAAAAAAAATTTGTGTGATTCACTTTATTACTGTGGCCTGGAACCCAGTGCATATCTCTGAGGTGTGCCTGTATAATAAAAAGTCCTTAGGTATTCAGCTTATGAGATAGATGGATCTTAGTTCTGCTTCTAGCATTACCATTATAAAGGAGTTCAGATGTTTTTGAAGTACGGGAATCCTCTTGGTGACTGTTTTATGCTTTTTGTTCATTATACTTCATTATTCTTTATGGGACCTATTAGCCAATCAACAGAACCAGAGAGAGATGAATTACCAAAGAGGTTAAGGAAGAAAAGAGTGTATAGCCAGTGAAAAGGTGATAGCTTGGGAAAGAAATGAAGGATGGATGAAACAGAGATCATAAGATAAAAAAACAGAGCTAGTGGCATTGGCAAAGAAAGAATCATAAAATATTATGATCAGTTAAAGGAACTTTTGAGTTTGTGAACATGGAAGTAAAGAACACTTGTGGGTGAAGGCAACAATTTTTGATACTCTTATCTGTTGCAAAAAGTATACTTGGGTTGACTAGCCTGCTACTTGTTATCGAGCAGTAACTGTTTAGAACACAGTCCTAAATGCAACTTAACCAGCACTTAAATTTGTATAACTCCGATTTCATGTCTGTTGTACTTTCCTAGGGAACTCTCCAGTGAGTTATAAGAAAATAAAATCTGTTTTTCTGTTATAAATGTATAGAAAGATTCTGTATATGTGCATTTAGTTTAGATTAATGTTTATTATTTATCCTGCTAACATGAGCTGAGTCTGAACTACATGAACTTACGTAAAACAAATAGCAAATAGTAGTAAAATAGTAAAAAGTAAAATTTTGTTTTCCTGTTATTTCCATAGTTTTTAGAACATTCAGTGAGTGGGTGGTTCTGGCAGACTTTGTATAGTTCTTATTCTTTAATATAAAATTCTCTAGCTAACTAATCTAAAAGAGCCTTGTGTCTTCAGTTCAAACCTATGTGGCATAATTTAAGTTGAAAATTAAGATAAATGATTTCAGATAACATTGATTCTTTTTTGCCTTACCCTTATAGCAGTAGAGGATTAGGAGCTTTCCTTTTGTATGTGTGATAGGATTTCATTCTCCTGGGTTGTTAACACTTTTCATAAAACATTAATTAAGAGAGCTAGCTTGATGTGTGTCTAAAAGAACACAATATGTACTTAAAGTCTAGACCTGGTTTTAGCCCTTGTTCTACTAATTAGCTATTTGTAGCTGGCTGTGCTTTCTCTTATTCACTGGTCTTGGTCCTTGTTCCTTATTACTGCTTCCTATTGAGCAACTTCTCCCTTAGTTTCAAACTTTCTTAATTTATCACGCAATCTAGATTCTGGTGACTGTTATTTGTAACCTGCGGGTCTACTCACCCCTCCCCTAACTTGCCCTCCCCCTTTCTCCTTCATTGAGTTCAGTATCTGCTTACAGTCTTTCCTCTAATTTCCCAGTTCCTCAATCTACTCAGTTCCCATGATCTATTCTTCTACTTCCCTCAACTACATAAACAGATGGTCACACCCTTGATCTTGCCATCACCCACGAGTGTTCTTTACTTCCATGTTCATAAATTCTAAAATTCCTTTATCTGATTATAATATTTGATGATTCTTTCTTTGTCAATGCCACTAGCTCTGTTTTTTTATCTTATGATCTCTATTTCATCCATCCTTCATTTCTTTCCCAAGCTATCACCTTTTCACTGGCTATACACTCTTCTCTTTCTTAACCTCTTTGGTAATTCATCTCTCTTTGGCTCTGTTGATTGGCCAGTAGGTCCCAGGCCAAGTCCTACTTGATCTTTGGTTGGGCCCTGATTGGTTCAGAATGAATGTAAAGAGTAATTGTTTCTGTTTTGGCCAGAAACCCTGAGGGTCTTCCCCTCCCAGGCCGAATTTTTTTTTTTTAATTAGGTAAAGAGGCCGTTCTGTGCCCCATTTCTTATTAAGCCTTAGTCATTGAACTGTTGTCTCAGTCAACCTGAAACCTGTTAAAAGACCTTAACTTGAAAAAAAGGCTAAGGTCCCCCACTGCATCCTGGGCCAGCTCCAGTTGTCCTGATCTGTATCTGGCCACTAGACTCAGATGACTCTGGAGGAGAAAGTGAGGCTGGGGACTTTGCACAGTACTCCTTCACTTAAATCCAATTCACTTGCAAGTCATGGCATCACCTTCCTGATGTCATGGTGCTCTTCAAGAATGAAGGACAGACAAGAATAGGGTCTTCCACCCACTTACAATTCCCTTACTCCTTTATTCTGTCACTAAACAAACCTTGCCAAGCTCTAATCCTGGATTACTCCCAGCAACAATGGTTTCCTTCCTTCCCATTCACATGCTGGTGAATGGTGCTAGAAGAGGCCACAAAACTATGCTGCCTGGGCCCTCACTGAAAAATATCTCCTTTCCTGTCAATCTTCTTTAAGTAATTCACTATTCTACTCCCCAAAGTAGAATTTATCTATCAAGCTGGGACCTGCTTCCCCAGCCCTCCACTGAGATTGGATCATCTTCCTTTACTGCCTCCTTTTTCACTCCCATCTCAGATGAAGTGGTGGCTCTTGTTAAGGCAAATTCCCATTCCTGCCTGACTTCTCCAGCAAATTGTCCCCTATCATCCTATAATCTACTCCTATTCGTGTCGAAATGTGGGAACACCATCTAATGTGTGCATCCATCCACTTCCTCTTTCATTCTTTTCTAAACCTGCTGTACTCTTTCTTCTAGGCTCATTGTCCAACAGAAACTTTTCAAAGTTACTAGTGATTTCTTAATTGCTAAATCTAATGACCTCTTCTCAATCCTCCACAGTGTTTGATACTGTTGATCACCCTATCCTGGATACCCTTTTCTTGATCTATACATTTTAGTGACATTGCACTCTTCTGTTTCTTTTCTCTTGGACCACACTTTCACAGACTCCTTTGTTGGTTCTTTATCCATGTATCCATGTTTCCTCACTTGGTGTCATCCATGGTTCTGTCCTGGGTCCCCATTCTCTTGACTGTATACCAGGGACTGTCACACTATATACATGGACCAAATGGACTCATGGGCCAAAATGAGCTGACCACCTATGCTCAATGTAGAAACCATTCTTAGCTCCCTAGCAAAACAAAAGTAATCCAGCAGTACAGTCAATTGATGCATATTTATTAAGTGTCTGAGACAGACCCTGCCTAATGGGGGAGATGTGAAGGAAACAAACAAACAAGCTATATACAGGATAAATAGGAAATAAGAGAGGGAAGGCACTAGAATTAAGAGGGGTTGGGAAAGACTTCTTGTAAAAAATTTTAGTTGGGACTTAAAGGAAGCCAAGAGTTGAGGAGGGAGGGCATTCTAGGCATGTGAGACAGCCCAGAGAAAAATGCCTGGAGCTGAGAGATGGAGTGTCATGTTTATGAAATAGGTAGGAGGCCTGTATCATTGGATCAAAGAGTACATGTTGGAGAGTCAGTTGTAAGAAGGCTGGAAAGGTAGGAGGGACCTAGGTCATGAAGGACTTTGAATGCATTTATATTTGATCCTGGAAGTGATAGGGAACCACTGGAGTTTCCTGAGGGGTTGGGGTGGAGGTGGGGGTGACATGATCAGACCTGTGCTTTAGGAAAATCACTTGGGTGACTGAATTGGAGGATGTATTGGTATGATGAGAATACAAAAGCAGATAATTGGCCTGTTGACCCTGTTCTATACTGTCTTATTTGATGAGGTCATTAGCTCCTACAGTAGATTTATCAAATGAGGTAACATGTAAAGACACTTTGCAAACCATAGCACCATACAAAATGCTAGTCATTTTATATTATTATGATTTTCATATCTGTATAGCCAACCTTTGTCTCTCCCTTGAGCTATAGTCATGTTTCTCTTGTTTATCTCAGCTATCTCTTAGATATCTCAAACTGGATGTCCTCTAGGCATCTCAGTGTTAACATGTCCAAAACGCAACTCATTATCTTTCTTCCTAAACCCTCTCCAAATTTGAACTTTCCTATTATTTGAGGGCACCACAGTTCCCAATCACCTAGGTTTGTAATCTCAGTGTCATTCTTGACTTCTTACTCTGATTCACCCCTCATATCCAGTCTATTTGCTATGTGTTGTCATTTTGACCTTCACAACATTTGATATACATCCCTTTCTCTCCATACAGCTACAACCCTAATTCAGGCCCTCATTTTCTTTCCCCTGTACTATTGCAATAGCCTTCTAATGAGTCTCCCTGCCTCAAGTCTTTTTCTGCTTACCTTTTTTTTTTTTTTAGGCAATTGGGGTTAAGTGACTTGCCCAGGGTCACACAGCTAGTACATGTGAAGTGTTTGGTCTGAGGTAGGATTTGAACTCAGGTCCTCCTGGCTTCAGGGCCAGTGTTCTATCCACTGCACCACCTAGCTGCCCCTCCTCATTACCTCCAAAATCAACTATGAAGTCCTTAAGCTTGCTAAACCATGGTTTCTCCCCCTTATTACCCCCTTATTATATCAGACAGCAAGCAGTCTGATATAGATTATATATGTGCAATGGTGTTAAACATATTTCCACATTAGTTATGTTGTGAAAGAAGAAACAGAACAAAAGGGAAAATCCGTGAAGAACAAGCAACAAAAAAGCGAAATTAGCATACTTCAGTCTGCATTCGGACTCCATAGTTCTTTCTCTGTCTGTGAATAGCATTTTCTGTCCACATGGTTGTTTTGAGGAAAGCACCTGGTAAATTCTGGAGCTCTAGTGAGCTGTTTAATGAAAAGAAAACAAGTATTTTCTTCCATCTTCTTTACATACATAACAGAATAAGAGTAATAGTATAGAAGAGTATTTTTAATAGTATCGGCCAGAGAAAATATAGAGATAGTTTCTAGATATGTGTGGATACCTTTCTACCTTTGCCACTGTGTATTTCTAGCCGTGTTCATTGTACATAAATCTTTTCCTTTTGTTTCTTTAAATGTTCTGTTGTTGTCATTTGTAGGCGAAATTTGACCAAGCTGTCCCTTATCTTCAGCCACATGCTGGCAGAACTAAAAGGGATCTTTCCAAGTGGACTTTTTCAAGGAGATACATTCCGGATAACCAAGGCAGATGCTGCAGAATTTTGGAGAAAAGCTTTTGGAGAAAAGTAAGTTTTATCATACTTACTTTGGACTATGGAAAAAAATGTTGTTTTAAAATCTTACTTTATTAATGCCTTTTGTTTTCTCGTCACCTTAATTTCTATATATATCAGTCTCTCTTCCTCTACCCAGCAAACTGTCCTTTGTAACAAAAATTTAAAGAGAAAAAAAAAGTCAGTCAACAAAATCAGTCAGATTATTAACTTAATTTTGACAGCATATATGACATATTCCATACCCATGACCTCCCACCTCTGTTAAGAAAGAAAGGGAGGTAAAGTGTATATTTCTATGTTTAAATAAATACAAGTACTTCCTATTGACTTTACTGGATTATTTCCCATCTTTCACCTTCTTTGGATGCCTCTAAAGGTCTGTCTTTGATTCTTTTCTCTTACGAAATCATAGATTTGGAGCTGGAAGGGACCTTAGAGGGCATCTAATCCAATTCACTTATTTTAATGGTGAGGAACTGAGGTGAAGAAAGGTTAAATGAAGTCCAAGGACGTTTAAGAAGTAAAAGAGCAGGAATTTGAACCCAGGTCCTTTGACACCAAATCCAGCCTTTTTTCACTGTGTTGTACTGCCTCTCCTCTCTCTTTCTTTATATCACCTCTCTGTGATTCTATTGATTGCTATAATTTCAAACATAATCCTTACATAGATAACCCTGTCCTCCCCCACCTATATCATCAGCTTTTATCTCTCTCCCAAAGTCCAATCCTGCTTCAACAGCTGCCTGCTGGACTAATATACATATTTTATCAGCACCACAAATTCATATCCAGAATGGAACTTATCTTCCTTTCCCCATCTCCCTGTGCTCACCTCCTTCAAACTTCTCTGTTTCTGTCGAGGGAAGTTATTTACTACCTTGGAGTCATCCTTGACTTTTCCTTTTCCTTCACTCCATATCTGATCAGTTGCCCAGCCCTGTTGATTATATTTCCCCATGATTTCTTATATCTTTCTTCTTTAAACTCACATGACTATCACTCTTTATTGTTTCACACCTTTACTATTATAATAGTTTTTTAATCAGCCTCCCAGATTTTAGTCTGTGCACTTTTTATCTCCTTATCTGCATAACTGCCCAAGGAATCTTCTAAAGTACAGGACTGACCTTGTCACTCCACCTGCATAAACATTATCAGTGGCTATCCGTTTTCTTTTGAACAAAGTACAAACTCCTCAGCCTAGTGTTTAAGGTCCTTCATAATCTGGTTCCACCATACCTTCACGGACATATTTTCCCTTTCTTATACTCTCTATTCCAGTCATATGTGGTGAAATTCCATTTCTTACTTCCATGTCTTTGCATAGTGTGCTCTGTATTCCTGGAATCCATTCCCTCTCCTGCTTGTCTCTTAAGCATATCCAGTCTCCTTCAAGACTGATTCCCCTAGGTGTTAGCATCCTCTCTTTCCTCAAATTATCTTACATTTACTTACATATTGTATCCCCCCACTAGGGTATAAATTCCTTGAGGGCAGGAACTGTCCTTAATTTTTGTCTTTTCATCTCCAGTGTCCTAGCAGTCACATAATAGATATTTGAATTGAATTGAAATTGGTTTAGTAGCCTTACCTGTGGTTTAATTACCCTTGTAGTAAAAATTTTCTTCTTTATCTCTCCCAGAACTTTCAATTTTATTGTTTCTTTTTGTTTTATTCTCTGTGAGGTAGTATATACACTCAAAAATATAAATCAACACTAGTCACTAAGGATCTATTGAAGAGACAGACCACAAATTGCTTGTGATAGTTTAGCAAGAAGAACATCCATGTTTTCTTCTTACCTTTACACTTTTGTAATAAAATAAGTATATCTGGGTGACAGCACCAAGTCATGAATTAGTTTGTAGTATTAAATTTGACATTCTGAAAAGAATTCCTTTCCTGTTAGCCGTGGAAAGTTGGAAAATTAAGCTTTCAGAACCAATAGACCCCTAAATATTTATGGCAGTGTTTTTTTGTAGTAGTGAAGAACCAGAAATGAAGTAGATTCTCATTGTTTGAGGAATGTCTAAACAAAGTCTGCTATATGAATGTAATGGAACATGACTGTGCTGTAAGAAACAATAAATGTGAAGAATATAGACAGAGAAGTACGCAGAACCAGGACTACATGCAGTGTAATTGTAAAGAAGAACGAACAGAATAACAACAAAAACAAGAATCATGTGCAAATACAGTGACCAAGCTTTGCCCCAAAGAAGGGATGAAAAAATGAAGCACCCTCACTTCTTTACAGGGGTAGGGAACTATGAATGTTTGGGAGATTTTATGTACTGTCAGACTCAGTTGATGCATTGGTTAATTTTACTGAATTTATCTTTCCCTCTTTTTAAAATTCTTTGTTACAAGTTATAGCTCTCTGGGCTGAAGGGAGAAACAACATTGAAAATGCAATTGATGTTAAAAAAAAAGATACTAATTTTTTTAAAATGAAAATTGAGCCTTTAGTCAACTGTTCCCATTCCAAAATATAACTCAGCTTCACTTAGGGACAGTTGAAATTGCTTTTGGAAAAGTATAAGGTAGGTATTTACATCTACTTCTCTCTATTCTTGATTACATTCATACCTAGAATTGTTGACTCTGGGGTTTATTTGTTTTTTTTTAAATAGGACAATAGTCCCTTGGAAGAGCTTTCGGCAGGCTCTTCATGAAGTACATCCCATCAGCTCTGGACTAGAGGCCATGGCCCTGAAATCCACTATTGATCTGACCTGCAATGATTATATTTCAGTTTTTGAATTTGATATCTTCACACGACTCTTTCAGGTAGGTCAAATACCTGCACTGACTGGTAATCAAATAACATATATATGCCTGGCATATAGTAGTCAAATAACTGACTGACCCTGTACATTTGTATTTTGAATAGCATTTTAATTGCAACAAATGTTATTGCTGCTTAAAAGTTTTTTTTTTAAGTATTGACTATTAATCATGATATGTCTTAACATTATTTGGTTGTCATTATGTTTTCTAGTATTTGTGTTAGCACAGGCCTGTATAACCTGGGGCCTGCCAAAAGATTTTGGGCAGACCCATGAAAAATGTCAAAGGAAACATCCTCGACGTTTTTCATAGCTGCCTGAAATCTTTTGGTGTGTCTGCAAGCTGCTTACAGCCTGTGGGGCTGCAGGTTGTGCAGGCCTACATTAGCATGAGGATGCCAGTTTTCATGTAGATTTCTTGAAATTCAACTTCACATTTAGGACCCTCCCTTTTATTCTTTTTTGTGTTAACTAATTTCTCTCTACTGTTGACTAGAGCTGACCTCAGATTTCTCGACCTTTTTTTTTTTTTTAAAGGAAGGCTAAATTCTCATGTAGATATGTACCTTTCTTTATTCCTCTCTCCTCTCCTCCACAGCCCCCCATGCATTCTTATTACGTTACTTCTATTCACGCATGTGCTATAGTTGGCAGACTACCCTTCTTGCTGTTCTTCACACATAACATTCTGTGTTCCTTGTCCATGCATTTGCTGTTTTGTGCCCGATGTATGCTTTATTTTGCCTTCTTCCTCATACAATCTCTTCAAAGCTCAAAATACTACTTCCTCTGTGAGGCTTTTCCTGATGCCAGCTAGTTCATATCCTTTGACATTCCCTTGTATTTGTTTTGTATGTACTTATGTGTATACATGTTCTTTCCCCTGGTAGAAAGAAAGCTTGTTAAAGGTAAGGACTGTTTCACATTTGTCTTCCTATCCCCAGCACCTCACATAGTTCCTAGAACTTAGTAGGTACTTATAACTGCTTATTGAGATGCATAGTATCATCCTATATCTTTTTTGCTCTTTGTAGCTAAACTCCTTGAAAAGACCATCTACAATAGGTGCCCCCACTTACTCTCCTCTTTCTTCTTATAATCTAGCTTGTGAATTTATTATTTCACCAAACTGGAAACTTCTCCAAAGTTACGAATAATCTCTTAGTTGCCAAATCCAACACTGTTGATTACCCTCTCTTCCTTAATATTCTCTCTAGGTTTTCAGGATATTACTCTCTCCTGGTTCTCTTCCTGCCTATCTTATAGTTCCTTCTCTATCTTTTTTGCTGGAACCTCTTCCAGATCACACTTTAACCATAGGTGTCCCTCAAGATTCTATCCTACGCCCTCTTTTCTTTTCTCTCTATAGTACTTCATTTGGTGATCTCATCAGCTCCCATGGATTTAATTACCATCTCTATGCTGATGCTTTTCAGTTCTATCTTTCCTATCTCAGCCTCTCTGCTGACCTCCAAACTCACATCTCCAACTGCCTTTCAGACATCTCGAACAGGATGTCTAGTAAACATCTTAAATTAAACATGTCCAAAACAGAGCTCATTATCTTTTCCCCTAAATTTTCCTCCTCTCCTACCTTCCCTATTGCTATAGAAGGCAACACCATCTTCTCAGTCCCTCAGGCTCACAACTTAGTAGTCATCCTGTACCCCTCACTATCTCTTATCATATCCGAGCTGTTACCAAGGCCTGTTGATTATACCTTTGCAACTTCTTTCCTCTGACACTGCGACCCTCTAATGCAGGCCCTCATCATGTCATTCCTTGATTATTACAGTAACCTGCTGGTGAATCTGCCTACCTTAAGTCTTTCCCCACTCCAATTCATCCTCCAACCAGCCACTAAAGTGATTTTGCTAAAGCGCAGGTCCAGTCATGTCAGCCCTCTACTCAATAAACTCCAGTGGCTTCCTGTTACCTTCAGGATCAAATACAAAATGTTCTATTTGGCATTCAATATCCTTCATAACCTAGTCCCATCTTACCTTTCCAATCTTTTTACACTTTATTCCTTGATATATACTCTTTGATCCAGTGACACTGGCCTCCTTACTATACCATGAACAGCATACTCCATCTCTTGGGCATTTTCAGTGGCTGTTCCTAATACCTAGAACACTCCTTTCTCTGCTCCAATTACTGAAGTCCATGGATTCCTTTAAGTCCCAACAAAAATCTTACCTTCTACAGGAAGCCTTTCTCAACTCCTCTTATTTCCAGTTGCTTTCCTTTGTTAACTATCTCCTGCTTACCCTGTATATAGCTTGCTTCATGTATATTTGTCTGCATGTTATCTTCCCTAGTACAGTGTAAGCTCCTTGAGAGCAGGAACTATCTTTTGCCTCTTTTTATATCCCCTGCACTTAGCATAGTGCCTGGCATATAGTAAGCAATTAATAATTGTTTATTGATTGATAGTCTGTGATCACTTTCTTGTTTCTTTAGCCTTGGTCGTCTTTGCTCAGGAATTGGAACAGCCTTGCTGTGACTCATCCGGGTTATATGGCTTTCCTGACATATGATGAAGTGAAAGCCCGGCTCCAGAAATTCATTCACAAGCCTGGCAGGTTAGCAACCTATAGGAATTTGTCTTTCTTGTTCTAATATGGCTTCTGTTAGAATATAGGAAGCAGAATCTTGACTTTGGTGTTCAGTGGCTAAGATTTCACCGTTAGATTGAGATTTAATTAAAGAAACAAATGGACAACTTTGCTGTAGTGATCTGAGAATTGTTTCAAGTTATGAATATTAAGTTAATAGTCCCTTGGTTTTTTATCTGGAGGCATGGAAGAAGTTATCCTTGATGATTTGTTAAAAAAAAAAAAATTTTTTTTTTGTTTCTTTCTTGTCTGCCATCCTCGTTTCAGCATACTTTAAAACCTTTCTCTGTCTATGTTCTCAGCTACATTTTCCGACTGAGCTGTACAAGGCTGGGTCAGTGGGCCATTGGCTATGTCACTGCTGATGGGAATATCCTCCAGACAATCCCTCACAACAAACCTCTTTTCCAAGCACTGATCGATGGCTTCAGGGAAGGCTTGTGAGTAGCTGTTTATCATTCAATGGTGTCTAGGAACCTGAAGGGCTAAAGCACATTTCTGTGATTTTATTTCATCTTTCTACAGGTTGACCTGGGGAGTATATTAATAGAGTTTATTGTCTTGGCCTTCCCATTATGTTGAACTTGGTTTTCTTTGGGGTGTTGAGTTTTCTTGGATTTCATTATTTGGTTTTCTGCTTCTTTATGAGCAAGAGATTGTCCATTATTTTTTATCTGACAAAGTTTGAGAAAAGAATAAATTAACAATAATGTTTACTTGACCTTTTCACATTATAGCCATATCATAGGATAGTATCTTAGTGATTGAATGTACCTGAGAATGCAGTTTAACAGTGTTTAAAAACCTTGTCCGTTTGTGTCCTAACTTCTTTCTGATCCAACAAAATTTATTTAAAGCATTTGACTCTAAACTCTTGCTGTATTGCATGGCAGACTTCATATGTATCACAGAGTCACTGTTTCTTCAGGAGGTTAAGTTGCTTATCTGTTGGCATACCTAGAGTATAACAAGAAGTGACTAAGTATCTGCACACCACTTATCTTCTAAAAGGATGAGGAAAGCCAGTTTTCCTCTTGGTCTGTGCATGGAACCGACAGAAACATATGAACAAAAGAGGTTGTTGCCTGGGCTCTGAACCTTGCAGTAAGGAATGCTTGAACTTACTTGGTAGATGATCTCAGTCACTTAGCTTGTTTTCTTTATCTCTAAAATAGATTTTTGTCAATGTAGTAATAATTAGGTACTCAAGGACATTTGAGTCCTTTGGTTAAAAAGAAACTCCCAACAAGAACTGATATTTTGTTTATCTGTCGTATGGAAAAATGCTAACTCCTCTGCCTACTTGTGTCATGTTCCATTAACCATGCATTCTGGGAAGAAACATCATTGTAATATCAGTATAACATCATCTTCTCAGAATTGCTTTGAGTCATTTTACTCTCTGTAGAAACTCTTGTGAATTTTGTCTTTACTTCTCTTCTGGGTTTTGTTTTTGGTTTTTTTTGTTTGTTTTTTTGTATCATCAGTCATTAGTAATTTAGTTTGAAGTCAGACATTTGTTAAGTGGCTACATGTGTAAGATATTGTACATAATTGCTGAAAATACAAAGATTAAGAAAAGATAAAACCTCTACCTCTTAAGGAGCTTACGATTTAATAGGGGAGGTAAGATACATACGTAGATAATGATAATAAAATCAGGACAAGATTACTTATGTTTGGAGAGGTCAAGCATGAGAGATTCAGGGAAGGGATGAATCATGTCTGCCTAGATAGATCATGGAAGGCTTCAAGGAAGAAAGTGCTATCTTTGCTGGACCTTAAAGGAACAGAAGGAATTTTTCCATAAGCGAAGGTTGGAGGGAGCCTGTTCTAAAAACTCTGAAGTGTTGGCATCCATGTCTTATTATTACTTTATTTCTTAACAGTGACACATAAGACTAGTCATATAATCACAGAGAATAAAAAGAATATTAAGTCTTGTTTTATTTATTTATTTTTTTAGCTATTTGTTTCCTGATGGACGAAATCAGAATCCAGACCTGACTGGCTTATGTGAACCTACTCCTCAGGACCACATTAAAGTTACCCAGGTTAATTGCATATTTATTCCCTTGTAATAATTTCCCTGTTCTCAAAAATTAACCCACTGAATTCATGAGTTCAGTTTTATGAGAAGGAACTAAGCCAGTTGTGTGAAATCTCAAGGTATAGTGTCCACCTGGGAGTTGTTTGGAATACCATCTGAGATCTCTTTTTTTGGGGAGGGGGGAAGGAGAATTTGAGGCATTTGGGGGTTAAGTGACTTGACCTTCCAGGGTCACACACCAGTGCTCTATCCACTGTGGCTGTTTGTGTTTTGATAACTTTTATTAAGCTAGTAATTTTGTGTATTCTTTCAAACTAGTCTTGTCATTGTATTTCCTTATAGACTAGCAGCACAAGGCGTAGTTGTGCTGCTAGTTTTAAAGGAAGAAACTTTGAGCACTCCTTTAGAATCAATTTTTTTTTTACTCTAGGAAAACCTATGAAACAAGTAATGTTTTTGAGTAATCTGTATTTTAGGATGTATGGTTCTAGCAGACCAAGTGATCTTTGTTTTTTCTCATAAGGAACAATACGAATTGTACTGTGAGATGGGCTCCACCTTCCAGCTATGTAAAATATGTGCTGAAAATGATAAAGATGTGAAGATTGAACCTTGTGGCCACCTCATGTGCACATCCTGTCTTACAGCATGGCAGGTAGGAATCCAGATTGCACATTCTCAAGTCAAGATAAGTCCCTCCATAAAATTGGCTTTTTGCTTTTCAGCCCTTTTTCAGATAATAAAAGCATGACTTGTGATTGGTAGGTTTAAATTTTAAATGTCTGTCTGGTTTTCATCACTTTATAATGTATTTTATACTGTCTGGAGATATTTTAAATACTTTCAGATATCTGAGACTGTCACTAATCTCTTTCTTTACAGGAATCAGAAGGTCAAGGTTGCCCTTTCTGTCGGTGTGAAATTAAAGGTACAGAGCCTATCGTGGTGGATCCATTTGATCCCAGAGGAGGGGGTGGCCTGCTTAGGCAAGGAGCAGAGGGAGCTCCTTCACCAAATTATGATGATGATGATGATGAAAGAGCTGATGACTCCCTTTTCATGATGAAGGAACTGGCCTGCGCCAAGGTAATACTGCAACTAGGAGACTTAATTGAGTTAATCTGTGAACCAATAAATCATTTGGTGCAAAACGAAGTGTACAAGAATTGTATCCCAGGCTTTGGTTTACCCGGGTATTTTGTTTGATAAAATAGTCAGGATAAGGAAATTCAATCAGCGAATAAGTAATTACTAAATACTTGCTATGTGCCAGGTACTTTTGCTAGGGGTTGAAGATATAAATACAATGAATGAAAATCCTCTTGGATTTTCTATAATACTGTATCTATTATCTTATTTTAAATAGAGAATCTTCATAGGATCGAAAGTTTAGAGCTGGAAGGCACTTGATAGATTATTTAGTCCAGCCCTTTCATATACAGAGAAGAACACCAGAGTCCAATAAGATGAACAGATTTGTCCAGAATTGCAGATCTACTAAGAAGCAGAACTGGCATTTGATCCAAGGCCTTCTAACTTCAAATCTAGTGGTCTTTCTGTTGTACTGTGCTTCCTCAGATTATGATCCATATTCCACATGAAATATTAGCTACTATTATGTCACTGCTAAATCTTTGTCCAAGCTGAGCACCCCTAATGCCTTTATCATTATACAAGAAACTGATTTTAAACATACAGGCATAGTCATAAAAACTAAGGGGCTGGAATAAAATTAATATACTTCACACAATTCCAGGAGAACAGGAATTACAGTCATGATTTCAGTCCATTATCACCACTGCTATTCAATATTGTGCTAGAAATGTTAACTGTAGCAATCACTTTCTTGTATAAAATAAATTGTTTGGTTCTATTTTCTGATTCATTCTTCCCATTCTCTTTCATTTCATTGGGAGAGTAAGCCAAGTATAGTTAGGCTTATTTATAATTGTTAAATTCATCTTCTTGTCCATTAGCTTCTTTTATATTTTTTCCTCTAATGGACATCCTTGTTTCACCTCCCAATCTTATTGGAAATGCTTCTAGCTTATTGCCACAAAGATTTGGACAGAATAGAACAAACTTAAAGGAAGAGTTTGTTGCTGCGTGATAATGGCCGAGGAGGGTCTGAAGGTGGCATTAAGGGAACAAAGGAGCATACCAATTTCTTTTCCTGAAGTCTGTGTCAGGAACCATGAGAGAAGCAGTGTCCAGACTTGAAGAGACTACCAAAAGATGTGATGTCCTCAAGGGAAATTGAGGTTTTGGGAAGTACCAGCATATGGAAGAAATGTGAGGAATATGTCTAAGAGGAAGGAAGTTTTTTAATGAAAGAGGAACATTCAAGAGGACACGCTTGGAAAAGAAGACAAAGGGACTGGGATAGGTTAGAGCTGATCTAAATAAAGATGATACTGGGGAGAAGTAGCTGGGGAAAAGGGTTTCAGATGTGGTGAGAAAGCTAGTGAGACTCTGGAGAGATAAGATAGTCTGATCTCTATTATGGTTGGAGAGAGGATAGCCCATACCTTTCTCTCTAATTTCCACAGAAAGAAATCCTGCCCCCTTGTCCTTTCTGCTGCTACCTTCTCTCCCAACCTCTACAGGTTAGAGGCCAGTGGAAGACCCCAAGGTTAGAGGCACAAGAATGATAGACTCCAGTGGGGAGGGAACCTATTATCCTACAAAGACGTTAGCGCTTGGGCAAAGCCTTGACTGCCTCATCCAAGTTAGGGTTCTTAAAACATTTTCAATAATTAGTGGGTCAAAAAAGACATCATAAAAATTATGGGTAACAGTAATGCAGTATACCAAAATTTATAGGATATAATTAAAGAAGTCATCTGAAAATTTTCTACTTCTAAAAATATTAAAATAGGAAAACAAACGATGGGCAAACTGATGTGCAATTTTAAAAACAAAAAAGTTGACATGTCAGGTGAGAGGTGTGTAAAGCTGAAAATAGACTGTGCAATTGAAAAATACAACTCACAGGAAAAAATCAAGATGAAAAATTCATATTGCCAAATTAGGGCATGCAAGTTGATTAGTGCTCACATATATCTTATTCACAACAGATGAGCTGAGCCCAGAACTGAAGGAGGAAAAGAATGGGCTTGAACCATTTAGGAAATTATTCAGCACATCCTTTGACTTCCCATAACCCTAGGATAATCCCTGTCATTAAAAACCTGTTTTTAAAATACCTGTATTCTCCTGGCATTGCTATATTGCTGCAAAGGAATCAAAATTGCAATTTCCCAAACAATACTAGAAAGACAGGTGAACTATATAGCATGTTATCCATATTGCTACTTGTATGCTTATCACCATCTAATTAACCCATATTCTTCTACAGTTTCTTTGCTCCTATGATTCTCCCTTTCCATTGTGCTCATAGGAAGCCCTGCTCTGTTGTTAACTTCCGTTCATCATAGTTCTCTTTTCACATTCTTTCCATCTTCTTGTAGTTACAGAAACTTTGCTCTTTGTGATCTTTTCTGGGGCTGACTTATCTCATGTCCCCTAATACTTGGGGCCAGGATGGTGAGCTTATAGCATATGCCCTGCTCAGATATTGATTCCATCAGTCAGTATCACCCAATCTAGATCTTGTTGCTGTGGGTCACTTTCTTTCCTCTCAAATAATTCAGTTATCTAACTTGTAGTTTTTTGTCCCTGCCTTAGCCATTGTCTTCATACTTGGGAATTTCTGTATGTATTTGGATGTCTTCTTGAACATGCTGGGTTCCCAGTTCATCAACCAAATTAACTCCTGTGACCTATTTTTTCACTTCACCTCAGCCCCTTAAAAGATGATCATACTCTTAATCACGCCATCATTCATAATTGTGCCAGCTTTATGATTTTGAACTTTGAAATTCTCCTCTGTGATCCCAAGTTCCTATTATTCCATCTTTCCTTCTGCCTTACTCCTCTGAACCTTAGTGTTTGTCTTTACCATAAGCTTCAGCCCCTGACTATCCATTTCTATCCTTTTGGTCCCTTACCCCAGCCAAGCCCTCATTTTCTTCTCTTAGCAGCATTGAACCTATCATCTACCAAGTCAATTAAACATTTTTCACCATCCTTGGCATCTTTATTTCCTTGTGCATTTCAAGATCTTCAATCCTGGATCACCTTCACAAAGCTGTTAAACACTTATGGAGGAAGTCATACCGCTCAAATACAAATACTCAGATATATCTCTGATCTCATCAGCTTGGAAGTTCTCTCAACCTGCCAGTGCCTACAAATCCTTTATGACTCTTAACCATGTCTTCCCACAAGTCACCCATATGGTCTACCCTCTGGAGGCTTTCCTTCCTCACTTTCTCTTCATGTTTTAAGAGCACCGGTGGACCACTCTGGCTGTCTACCTTTCTTTCCTCACTTTGTGATCAACTCCTCTTCTCTTACGATCATATAATTCCCTAATGACATTTTTTTTTACTGTTCATCAAAGTTACTCACTCATATTTTGCAGCCTGTTCATACATATCATGTGCCTTTCCATTGCTTCTGAGTGAGATTCATTTTTATTTCTTTGGAGATTGTTGTATTCATGTTTAGTTGCCATATGGCAGCAATAATAGGATTTTGGTGTTTTAAAAAAAAAGTTGCCTTTGTTCTCATGGGAAGCTGAAGTCATTGTAGGAACTTTGCAGTTTTTTGGAGGCAATCATTCCTTCTCTTGGTGTGACCAAATAACTTTCCATCTGTGCTGTCTACCCCAGATATAGATATACATACAGACAGACAAGCTCTGCAGATTATGTATCCAACTGCTTATTTTAATATGGAGAATAGACATTCTTCTTCTCCTTGGTAGGAAATTGGAAGTCACTGGTAGCTTTTAAATTTAGTCTGGATTGTGTTAAAGATAGGCTACAAAAACCTCAATTGATGATCTGGTCTAGGGAATGATAGCAGTAGGAATGACTAGAAAAGAATCACTATGAGATTTCAAGGGGAAAATTGACATGATAACTGTGACTAGATGAAAGAATGAAATAAGTTAGCCTAACCTATTACAAAATCTAGATCAATCTTATTTTCTCTTCCCTAAGGAGTACTGCTTTATGGTTTCTTCTATTGCCTTGTCAGCAGAAATTCAGCCTTTTCTCTGAACAAAGAAGTAAGCACAAACGGCTTCAGAAGATGAGATCTATCCTTTTCCTCCTCTCATTTCCCCTTCCACTCAGCAATAATGACTGGTCTAAGTGCAGGGCATGCTGTTTTTGTTAAGGAAATATATGGGCTGTCATCTTATGAGTGCATTCAATTTATGTTTTGACTATCTTCTGTCAGTTTTGCTTTCTGTTGTGAATGCAGAGGCATTTTGCATGGGTCATTGTGCCAAGTGCTTATCTGTTCATCATGCTGCTTTGCGCAGGAAAATGGAAAAAGCTTTACATTTGTTTAAAATAACTTGGGGTCTATATTTTACTTTAATTAAAAGATAAATTCTATTTTTCTATTCCGTTTACTGGATTGAAGTAGCATATTTCTTTAAAATAATTGAGATTTTCATTAGTTAAATAAAATCATCGGTAAATGTTTTGTTCATCTTCTTTGGAATTCAACAAACTTGACCATCAACACACTTCTGTTAGGTGCAAAACACTGTCTGGGTATGTAGGGAAACACAAAAATAAAACATGATCCTTCATGGAACTCATAGTCTAGTACGGGTTTTTGAAACACCATCTATCTTGGTTACTTGTGTCAGTGTGCAAGAGAAGTGTAATTGAAGTACTTCATGAAGTCTGAGTGGATCCTCACTGGCTGGGGAAGATTTTATAGAAGACATGGCACTGGGGCTGTGGAAAGCAGGTAATAACACAGTTTAAGTGTAGCATTAGCAAAGGCATAGAGATGGGTGATGACAACATAAGACATATGTGACTACTGGAAAGTAGTCCAGTTTGTTTGAACTGTATAGCACACATGGATGAGGGAGGAAAAGTAGAAGACTGGAAACAGTTTTGTAAGATGTGCACCAGATTGTGAAAATGGTAGGGCCTTGAAAGTAAAGCTAAGGAGTTTGGCCTTTTTTTTTTGTAGCCATAAAGAACTAATGAAGGTCTTTAAATAGGAGGATGCATGGATATATGCATGAATTTCCTTTTAGTCCCTATCCATACCAAAAGTCTACTTTATATGGCCTTGGATCTATTTTCTTTTCTTGTCCTAAAGACATTATTTTTCCTGGTGATTTGCTCAGGTTGATACCTTCTTGCTCTTTTCCTGTCTTTTCATGTGTTGCATTTTTAACATTGAAAAGCATTAGTAGTTAACCTTTCTTAAAAGAAAGCAGTAGAAAAATAAGAGAGCAATTTAGCAAAGATTTTTTTCACTTGAAGTGAAATGAGCTGTTAAAGGACAGCAACAACATGAGGGAAAACTTAAGGCACTTTCTTCTTCCAAATATATTCTCTGATAGCTAACTAGATCGCTGTTTGGTTGGTGTTTGTGGGTTGAGTGCCCTCTCATGGTGGCATGAAGGCAATAAAATACCAGCAGAAATTTATCATTGATTCTAGAAGAATATCTTTTTCAATTGGGGTTTGGATGACTAGGATCTAGGCTGATTATGCCATATCCATACTGTCCTGTGTTTGTGTGGCAGTTGCTAGATGCTGCTTTAGAGAAAATCAGTGTTATTTTGGGATAGTTTATTTTCTCCTTAGAGCATGAAAATCCTTGCAACAAACTTTTTTATTTTAGGTTGAACGGCCTCCTTCTCCATTTTCCATGGCCCCACAAGCTTCTCTTCCTCCAGTGCCACCACGACTAGATCTTTTGCAACAGCGAACATCCCTTCCCTCAGGTGCTTCTAGTCCTGGAACTGCTTCTAAGGTAAAGACTTTTCTGTGTTTGCTATTTCCCTGTTTTTTAGTGCTGAACATGTGGATGCTTACTATCTTCCATTATGTCTCAACAGGTTACCCCTGGCTCCCTTCATAAGGACAAACCTTTGCCAATCCCTCCCACACTTCGAGATCTCCCTCCACCACCTCCTCCAGACAGACCACATTCCATTGGGGCAGAGAGTCGGCCTCAGAGACGCCCACTACCAAGTACACCAGGCGACTGTCCGTCCAGGGACAAACTTCCCCCTTTTCCTTCTGGCCATCCAGGAGAATCATGGCTTCCCCGGCCAATACCCAAAGTACCTACTGCTACCCTAAGTCCTGGTGATCCCTGGTCAGGCAGAGAATTGACCAACCGGCACTCGCTTCCTTTTTCACTTCCTTCTCAGATGGATCCCAGAGCTGATGGTCTTAGGCATGGGAGCACTTTCAGCCTGGATGCCCCAGTGGTGAGTCAGTTTTTCTATGAGTGTTGGTGTACATAGCACTGGGAGTAGATACTCTGGGGAATACAAAGCATATCTTAGGGAAAACATGTACTAAAAGAGTTTGGAAATGGGAGAGATCATTTCCAGTGAAGATGATCTGGGCTTCAGTGGATGGGTAGAACTTGTAAGTGGGAAGAGAGTGTTTTCCAAGTTTAGGGGAGAATCAAGAAAATGCAAGGTCTTTTTCAGGAACGATAAATAGACTGGTTTGGAGTAGATGATCCATGGATGAGAGTAGTAGAAAATAAGACCAAAAAGAGTGGCTGGAATCATATGGGAAGGTTGTGGATCCAGGCTAAGGAGCTTGGACTTCATTCTCTGGACAGTGGAAAAACTATGGAGATTATTGAGTAGTGTGTATTTGGTATAGTGAAAGTGATCATGTAGGAAGATTAATTTTGTGGCAGTGTGAAAGATGATTGGGGAAGGAGGTGGCACACTAGGTAAGGAAAATACAAGAGCTGAAATGGAAGCAGGATCTGGGATGTTCTTCCATTAGTGACTGTTTGAGCTTGAGTGAGTCACTTAACCTCTCTGGATTTCCATTTTTTTCAACTGTGAAATGAGGGGAGTGAACTAGATGACCCTTAAGGTCATTTCCATCTCTAAATTGATGTTGTTAAGTGATTATAATAGTCTAATTTGTTAAGCACCCACTGCATATGGAGAGCATGGTGCTAGATGCTGGCAAATACAGTTTGTTGTAAAGTTGTTTTTCAGTTGTGTCCAATTCTTTGTGAACCCATTTGGGCATTTTCTGGGCAAAAATACTGGAGCAGTTTGCGATTTCCTTCTCCAGCTCATTTTACAGATGAGGATACTGAGGTAAACAGTTAAGTGACTTGCTCAGAATCACACAGCCAGTAAGTGCCTGAAGCCAGATTTGAACTCAGGAATAAGAGTCTTCCTAACTCCAGGCCCAGCACTCCACTGTGCTGCCTTGGTGCCCCAGAAATACATAGTTTAGGCAAATTATAATCCTGCTCTCATGGAATTTATAGTCCAATAGTGTGATAAGACAAGCATACACAAATAACTGGAACGCCATAATATACATGTATTAGAAAGGTTTTAGCAGAGTGTTATGTGAGGCACATGGGAGTAGAAGAGTAGGGAGTCATTAGTGACTAGGGGTATCCAGGAAGGAGGGTTTCCTCCTAGGTCAGTAACATTTGAGTTGGGCTTGAAAGAATGAATAGAAATTCAAAAGACAGAAACCTTTCAGGCAGCAAAGAATGATGAGTAAAGAGCATTCCAAGCATAGGAATCATAGGCCAGAAACATGAAGATGGGTTACTCTAGGACATGTGTGGAGAACACTGAGTTAGTCCACTTTGACTAATGTGTGGATTACATGAAAACAATGGATTGGGGGGAAGAAAAAACTGGGAACAGTATGAGATAAAGTTGGAAAGATAGAATAATGCTGAATTGTGAAGAGCTTCAGTTGCCCTCCTAAAGGAATTTGAACTTAATTCTCTAGGAAATAAGGAGATGTTGAAGGGTTTTGAGCAGAGGAGTGATATGACCAGACTTGTAAGTTTAAAAAAAAAAAAAAGACTGGTAGCTGTGTAAAGGATGGTTTAGAGGGTAGGAGAGAATGGAGTCAGAAACCTGTTCAGGTGCTATTGAAATAGACCAGTAGTTGGTAATGAAAACTTATACTTGGATATAGTGGCAATGGAAATACAGAGAAGGGAATAAATAGTTGAGAAATTGTAGAGCTCATGTTGTATATGTTACATAGTAACTGGATAGGTGACGTGAAGGAGAGGAAAGATCAAATAACTTTAAATTTTCAAACATGTGAGATTGGGTCAATGGTAGTGAAGTCAAGAGGAACAGATTTTGGGGGAAAGATGATAAAGCATGAGGAATAGTGGTGAGAATAGAAAGAAGAGAATATGTACAAAAATGATATTAAAGGAAAAAAGAATAGAGTTTGCTAACTAAATAGGGAAAGAGTCAAAGAAGTTTTAAGTTTGGATGATTAGTACAAGATTTGAGTTTTAAGTACAGCAAATCATATTCTGCAGGCATTCAGAGGTGTAGAGATGGGAAGCCTGTAGGAAAGAACAAATGGATGTAATTTTTCAGAATCATTCTGGTTGGGGCATAATCGGGATGCAGGAGTAAAAGGTTACAACTGCCAAATCTCCTCCAAAATCTCTTCTACAAAACTGCCACAGAAAATGCTGAACAGAATTCTGAGCGGGAAAGCCAACAGAAAGTCAAAGTGAGTCACTTTTCTAGCCCAGGGCAGCTTAGGAAGACAGAGAGGTCTGTGGACACTGGGGTGGGGGCTGACCAGAAACAGAGTATAGTGGAAGCATTTGTAGTATCAGCTTTGGGCTGTGAGGTATCAGCAGCAGCCTGGAACAATAAAAGGACTGACCCTCTAGTCGGAAAGAGATCACAGAGGACCTTGTACTAGCACTGAGACCAGGACCAGTTGCCATTTGGCAGCTCTGTTGCCTGTTACTCAGTACCAGGTCTCAGTTTCAGGACAGACAGGAACAGTCACTGTCACTAGGGAGCAGTGGCCTACCTGTGTAAGGACCAGAGCAAGAAGTCAATGTCCAGGCTTATCATACCACATTGGAAATACCAAAAATGTACAAGCCCCCAAATTGAGCTATGAAAGCATCAGTGGGGCATAAAAGACAGAAACGCCCCCAAAGCTAAGTAGAGCCCACCTCTAATGTAAAGTCCAAAGTCAAGAAGTAGGCTAGGAAAATGAGCGAACAACTGAAGAAAAACTTAACCATAGAAAGCTGCTCTGGTGATAGGGAAGCTCAAGACATAAATTTAGAAGATAATGACTTGAAAACATCCACAAGCAAAGCCTCAAAGAAAAATGTAGATTGGATAACAATTCCCTTCAACAAAATTCCTAGAAAAGCTAAAGAAAAAGATGTTTTTAAAAGGCCAAAAGAAAAATCAAATAAGAATGGTAGTGGAAAAATTGGGAAAAGAAATGCGCTATGCAAGAAAATTATCAAAAGAATTAACAGCTTGATAAAAGAGTCACAAAAAATACTGAAGAAAATAACCCCTAAAAAATCAGAATTGGCCAAATGTAAAAGAGGTACAAATCCTTACCGAAGAAAAAAAACTTCTTAAAAATTAGAATCGGTCAAGTGGAAGCTAATGCTCCATGAGACATTAAGAAATAGAATTGTTCTAGTTATATCAGAAGAACTCAACATTCCTTGGAGTAGGGAGAGGCAAGAGATGAAGAGAATGACCTCTATGTAGGTTAGTTTGATTCTTCCTCCATTTTTGTTCAATACAATTATATACAAGCTAAGTAAGGAAATAAAGAGTAATTAACTTTCTGGTTGTCAATATATGTAAAGGTCACTCTGAGTTTGGATGTAAATGTTTATGCTAGGAAAGTTTAGTTTGTGTTAACGTCATGTATCTAATGTCTTTATACCACACTGCTTCTCAGGGTTTATTCTGTAATCAATAGGGCACTGGCTTTGAAGTCAGGAGAACCTAGGTTCAATTCCTGCCTCAGACACTTGCTAGTTGTGTGACCCTGGGCACATCACTTAATCTCTATGTGCCTTAGTCTCCTCTTAAAAAAATAGGGATGGAGGTGTTTGTCTCAGTGGCCTCTAAGGTCCCTTCTATCTCTCAATCTATAATCCTATTTCCTTGACTCATAGATGAGCCTTCTTAAGGGGTTGAAATCAAGCATACTTATTCGGTTGTAATAAACCCAAGTGTGAGACATTGGGAGAAAGGTCTAAATGGCCACTATGTTGTATAAAGTAGATAAAGGGAATGGGAGATTTGAATGTATTACTGTAATAGGAAAGAGCTTTTGAGCATTTTTTTTCTTATTCCAGAACATGAACAATAGTCCATTAGCTGGGCCAGAGTGTGAGCACCCCAAAATCAAGCCTTCCTCTTCTGCCAATGCCATCTATTCTCTTGCTGCCAGGTATGCTATTAAAACCAAATTTGATGTAATATGTTTATTAAGGTAGTTCAGAAGGTTTTTGAGTAAATAGTTTTTGGAATAAAAAAATGAATCTATGCTTCTAGAAGAGTTGACAGAAAAGTTCCCTGGTAATACCAATCAGAACTTTTTGAAAAACTAATTCCTGGTCCATTAGGACCCAGTCTTTAAGATAAAGCTTCTTTGGATTGGTATTGTCAAGAACCAAGGAGCAGCTGTGCAAGTGTTACACATCTTTAGTACAGTAGCCATACCTGCTGGATGGTGGCAGATACTGTCTTCTGTCCTAAGAAAATGTACTTTATCCTAGCTACCTCTCCTGTCAAGAGAATTAATGATTTCAGAAAGGTTAACATGAATTTTGGGCTTAATTTGCTGCCATCTCTTTGACAGAAACCATTTTGAAGCCTTATTTCAAACCTTGATAGTGTTCCGGCTCTTGACCTGTTTGTTAACTCTACTTGATTAGGTTTATTCTATCATGATGTTTTCTCTTCTGTCTTCTGCACCTCCCAGACCTCTTCCTGTGCCAAAGCTGCCCCTCGGGGAGCAGTGTGGAAGTGATGAGGATACAGAGTATATGTCTCCTTCTTCTCGGCCTCTGGTACTTCCTGGTGCCAGCCTCCAAAAGATAGAACTGAAACGACCTTTGGAGATGACCCACGGTTTACAGTAAGTTTCCAACACTTCCAAACTTTACTAATGCAATGATTATGACTTAGTCTATTAATTTATGTTTTTAAAAAGTTGTATTAATGTCTTTTGCTTTTACATCACACATTTCCAAATAAGCCTTTTCTTTTTTTTTTAAATCCAAAAGCCCAATTCAGCAAAACCATCCACCTGTCTGCTGTGTCTGAAAACAAATGCAATTATCATTCTGCCATCATAGTCCCCCACTCTGCCATGAAAGTTGGAAGTTACATTTCTCATCTCTTCTTAGGGCTAAACTTAGTCATCATAATAATACAGTGTTCAGTTTCTTTTTATTCTTTTTGTCTATATTATGTAGACATTGTATACGTTGTGTTCTAGTTCAGCTTGCTTCACTCTGTATCAGTTCATATAAATCTTACAGTGTTTCTCCTAATTAATCATATTCATTTTTTTTAGAGTATAGTAATATTCCATTACATTCTCATACCACAGTTTATTTAACTGTTTTTCCATTTCGCAGTCACTCACCTTGTTTGCCTTTTTTTGCCAAAATTTTTCTCTGTCTCTTTAGAGGCATCTAGGTGATAACGGTGGCTAGAGCCTTGGGCTTGGAGTCAGGAAAACCTGAGTTCAAATCCTACCTCAGATATATACTAGCAGTGTGACTCTGGGCAAGTCACTTAATGGCTGTTTGCTTCAGTTTCCCCATCTGTATAATACCTGCCTCCCAGGGTTATTGTGAGAATCAAAACATGTTTAGACCAGTACCTGGCACAGGATAGGTTGCTGTATAAATGCTTAGGGACCTTCTTTTCCCCCTTTGCTATGATAAAAAGTGTTGCTATGAATATTTGGGCACATTTAGGTCCTTTCTGTCATTTGTTCTCTTTATTTTGGATGCTGCAGGTGACATCATTGCCTTAGTCTGTATATCACCTGTTTGGTTTTGTTTTTTCAGCATTGATTAGGCAATATTAAAACAGAATCATATTTAACTTTAGTTCTTAATCCTCTTTTGCAGTTATTATCAGTTTCATTTGTGTTTTCTCTCAACATCAGCAAAAGCTTTAAACTGTGTTCTCCTTTTGCTTTTTATTTGACTATACACGAAAGAGGACTGGCATCTGGGTAATAGTAGTTAGAAGTGACTAATTCTTATATTCTGTCCTTTTGGTAGCATGAAGGCTAGGCTTGTTTCTGAAGAAGTTTGTCATGCTCTCTTTTCTTTTCTTCTCCCCTTTTAGAGTGTTAGATTCAGAGCAGCAGATTGACAGCTGCACCTATGAAGCCATGTACAACATTCAGTCGCAGGCAACTTCTTCTGGCCTAGAGAGCAGCAGTACATCGGGTGAGTGCCCTGACTTAATGTCTGTGGAAGGTAGAGGCTTTGTCCCTTTGGCTTATTTAATAACTTGACTGAAATGGCAAGCATATGTGGTTAGCAATCTAGTACCTTCTTGGGTTAGAGGTTAAACTTCAAGCCAGTTGTTTTAACACTTTTTTAAGGTGTTCACAGACCAATCGCTCTTTTGTTTTTAATTCCTTTTCAAGGCTTGGGGGCGTTTGAAGGTTACTTTGCCTCAGCCTGCTTTGTTGGCAGCTCCCCTCTATTCCCATTGCTTGGCAGCATTGATAAAATTCTTTTGTGTGTGGGTGGGGAGTACTTAATTCTCCTCTTAACTAGCTGAGTTGAAAGGTTAAGAAGCCAGTGAACTCAGGGCCTCTTGCTTGCCTTTGGCTTTTCATTTGAGGTTGGTTGTGGAATTGCTGCTGGCTTTTGAAAAATCTGAGTGTTTATTTTCAATTAGCTATGGGATTTGGTTTGTTCTATCCCTAACTAAGAAGTATTTGTAAAATATAACCTCTGTTGTTAGTTGAGGGAGATCTGGCTGCAACCCTTCCCACCAATGGCCCTGAGGAGTCAGAGAATGAGGATGATGGATATGATGTACCCAAGCCCCCTGTGCCTGCAGTCCTGGCCCGTCGGACTCTCTCAGACATTTCTAATGCCAGCTCTTCCTTTAGCTGGATGTCTTTGGATAGTGATCCCACAACAGGTGAGTGGACCTGTTTTGGGGGGGTGTGCGTGTGTGTGTGTGTGTGTGTGTGTATGTGTGTGTGACTAATAATATTGGCCAGTTTGAAAGTTGTGGCCACAATATTTTGCTAAAGGATACTAAGTTTGTCCTTAAACCACAGCTCACACTGTTTGGAGCCATTAAGATTGCTAGTTATTCCAAGTATACATAATGACACTGGTAATTAAGCCTTGCTACTTAAGACCAAATGTTCATGGTTTCTGGCTCCTTTCCCATTAGAAAAGAGAGTTTGTTGGATCTAGCCATAGCTCTAGGCAGACTTGGAGATCAGTCCACATTTGGATACTGACTGTCAAGGGCCAGATTTCTTGCACCTGTTAGCACCCAGCAGGATGGTAACTGTAGTTGCCTGAACTCCCAGGGTAACAACTGTTCACAAGGAAATAATGAGAAGAGTTGCTTTTGGCACTGAGCCGATCCAATCCCTTACTGAACACTGAGTGTGCTCTTCATTGTATCATAACTTTGGTTAACTTCTTCCTAGGACTCTTTGCAAGTCTTCTCAGGCAACTGGGACACGGGCTAGAAGGAGCGCTGTCTTGGAAGTCAGGAAGACCTATGTTCTATTCACTAGCAGTGTGCTCTTTAGCAAGTCATTTAATCGTTTCCCATATTTCACAACTGGGAATGATGCCATCTGTTTTGAATACCTTACAGAGCATTTTGAGGATCACATGAAATAATGGAAGTACTATATAAAGTTGTCTTTGTGGCAGTCTTGATGTTGATTAGGAAAAAAAGGTACCTGATAAGCATCTGTGGTATTCAGTGGGTTTGCCCCCCCCATACTAGCAGAATCTTAGCAGGAACGGAACTAAGCCCTAAGGTTCTTGACCTTGAAGTTTTAAGTTATGATATATTACTGAGGATCCATCCCCATAGCTGGATGGTAAGTACATTGTCTCCTGACAATTGGTTGGTTAGTATTTTCTTCATTTTAAATCGTTAAATATTCATGTTAATGTCACTAATGATTTTGTCCAGATATACAGATGTTCGATTACCTTACTATTTCTCCTTATAGGTTTCACTGAGGGTTCCCAAGTTCCTGAAAGGCCTCCCAAACCTTTCCCTCGGAGGATCAACTCTGAACGGAAAGCAGGAAGCTGTCAGCAGGCTGGTGCTGTTCCTTCCACCTCTCCTCAGTTATCCAGTGAAATTGAGAGTCTCATGAGCCAGGGGTATTCATATCAGGACATTCAAAAAGCTTTGGTCATTGCCCATAACAATATTGAAATGGCCAAAAACATCCTCCGGGAATTTGTTTCTATTTCCTCCCCTGCTCATGTAGCCACATAGCACATCACCTCCTTACCTCCAATTTCAGTGGACCAGTGAGCTGGGCGCCATCTTCCAGGAGCACCTGAGAGGGCAAAGGGTTTTTTTGGAGACTTCAGACTGAAGTCTTGCCCTTGTCTGGTGGATGTCTCATCTGTGGTTCAAGATTTCAAAGCAGTGGAACAAATGCAGAGCAAGCAACTAGGATGTTGTTTTGTTTTGTTCACTATGTGTTTGAGGGCAGTTTGCCTTCTGTCCCCATTTAGAGAGAGTGTTCATTTTTATGATGACATGGTGTGGTGCAGCTCAGCCCCTTGGAGCAGTCCGAGGGCAGCAGGGCTTCAAGTATTGTGAGGGAAAAACCACACTGAGGGCTTTGAGTTTTCCAGCTTAAGTGGGTGGGTGTAACTGTATATATGTGTGTGTGCGTGTGTGTATGTGTGCATCCTGTGGTCAGAAGATTAACCCCAGACAGGCCTCCATTTCCTGGGGATAGGCACAAGAGGTTTAGGAAGGGATCTTTTGGTAATTTCCATCTACTGTGGTATTATACCCCCTAGTGTGTATTACAATTTCAGTGCTACTCCAGATTATCTTGTGCATAGCTAAAGTATTTTTAAAACTGGCTCTTCTGTCATTTGCTTTGCTGTCCATGGTGCTCTTGCCATTGGCCCGTGGACTGGTTATGACTAACTTAAGTGAAGCCAGGGAGTTTTGAGATATTCCGTTTTATATGTGGTTGTGTTTGTTTGTTTTGGGCTGGGGGGAGGGACGGGGGTGTAGGGAGAGTGGGGGGGGTAAAGTATCGTTGCATTATCATTACAAATAGGTTTGACTTTAGCAGCTAACACTGGTCACTCCGAAATGCTGTTTCTGTATTGAATTTGGCAAAATAAGATATTTTAATTATCCTAATTAAACCATGGCTGAACTGAGGTAGAGTCCTTCAGATACATTCCTTATTCTTCAGAGAGTAGGAATCAGTTGCCTTGGTGTCAGGTGTGTGCTCTGAGAGATACTTTTCTGTTTTGTGGGAAAGGAGCATCATATCTAAAGTAATGTTATAATCCAGATACCGGGAAGCTTTCAGGAACCTTGGGCCATATGCTATTTACCTTTGTATAATGACTAAAGAAAGCAGACTAAGTATAAGCATCCATCAGTCTGCCTCTCCTTCCTACTAAATTTCTTTTAGCCTTTGCTAAAAGCCTTGCTTCAGCAAAGGCCACATTATCATTTTCAGAAAATCTTCCCTTTTTGTCTTCCCAAAAATATGGGGCACTTTTTTGGTGTCAAGGTGTGCAACTGTTAGCTCCCAGCCCAACAAGAGTTAGACTAACTCTTGTGTGATTGTAACATTAGAGAATGTAGCCTCTTTTTACCCATTTACTCTATTCTTTGTACCTCTCCATAGAGTAAATTGCTGCAGCCAGGGAGTAGGCCCCAGATCCTTTTAATCTCTCAAGAAAGATAGAGAGAAGCTTCCCTTTGCACACAAATTTCACATTTAGGCATCAGCACAGGAGTGGGTAGGGGAAGGAAGCAGAATTTGTCGTAGTGAGGCACCATCCACTATTAGGGACCAGTGTAGAGTGTGTTGCCACTTGAGACCAGACCCAACTGCCTTTACATAAAGACATTGAACCTCAGAGGAAGATTAAAGAACAAATCCTAGGAATTTCCTCGTGCACTGTTAGAATCTGATGTTGGAATTCTTCTTTGTCTAGTGCTGTTGTGGGGCCTTATGCTTCCAAGTATATAATATTTATCTGTTACACATACTACTTTTGGATACAAAGTTTCTCTCTCTGCAGTTTACTGACCTGTTTATATAGAATACAGACAGATTTTCTGACATGCAAAAACACATTCCAAAGCCTTACATATGAGGTTGTGTGTTTGGGGATATGTTAGGTAGTAA